GGGTGCCACCACGCCCCGCCCTTCTCTTTGTTAGATGAACTGCCCTCTCAACAGCCGCTTTGGTACCAACTTTCCAGACACCTAGAATCTGTCATTCATGCCAGTCGTCTTCAGCCCTTAGTGCAAAGAAACTTTCACTTACTGTGCCTCAGTCTCCCTTTTCAGGTCATCATTCTAAAAAGTACATTTTAAGGTATACAACGTAGATAAGGAAAATACAAACCAAAGTTAGTACAAAGACACAAAATACAAAGGACACATACTCCCCTGTCCTCAATATTCAAGTGAGAAAAGTCACTATCTTAGACGGCCACACTAAGTCAGTTTGAATACAACCACCAAGACAATGGAAACCGAAGGGTAAGTAAAGACAAGCATTTTGTGATAAAGAAATGGTAGTTGCCCCATCCCTTCAAGCTCTTAGCCCGTTTTTGATGTTGCCTAATTGACACACAAACCTTAATTCAAGAAGCCAACAGGAAAAATATTTTACTGCTCATTATTGTGATGTCTCTAAATCCTTGTTACTGAGTTAACTGTTTATCGTGTGCTCCGAAGGAAACAAGTGCTGTGACCCAAGTAGTGAACAGGAGCTTCCTAGCATTCTGTCCCTGTCCCCCTCATGGCAGCAGCTGCCCTGGGAATTGTGCCCCCGGAGGCTTTATGAGATCAGCTACAGAGAAATCGTAGGGCGCGCGGCCTAGAATGATTCTGGCGTCTCTGCTTCATACAGAAACATTTACTGAAGGAAAAATTAGTCAAACTTTCTAAGAGAGCTTGCTTCTCCCCTACCCCAGCACCAGATGCCTGAGTAATAGCTACAGATACTAAAAACGCAAAACTGTCCAGACAAATGAATTAAAGCTACTTAGTATTTCTAGGCCACATACAACCGTTTTCATGTGTTATACAACACAGATACATTCCCATTGTAGTACTATGCTGTATTTTTTAAAATTTTGATTATAAATTATATCTAATCATTAAACATTTTTGTAGGGTATGAAATGGTCTTTAAAAGCATATATATGGTGTAGAATACACAAATCTAGGATATAAACATATTCATCACCTTCAACGTTTGACGTCCTATGACATGAACATTTGAAAGCCGCTCCACTGGTTCTTCTGGAAGTAGGTACTACATTGTCAGTGATGTTCTTTACTGTGAACTACAGTTCTAGAGAAAAACAAATTGGTTAAGAATCAGACGAGAAAAATACCACAAATCAATGAGAATGGAGTTTTGAAAACAAAGATCATCTAAACGTAGCCAATGAGAGAATTTGTAACTTTCACGTAGAGGACTGTGGGAGTTGAGAGTTTACATCCTGAGAAGATTGGTGGCGTCCCTGGTAACAGAGACACATAACAATGACTTATTAGGAAGAGGGAAAACCATTTAACTCACTGTAAGTTCTTGTAACCATGGTACTGTATTGTGCAAAAAGAAATAAGTCCTCATAAACCCTCAAAATGCAAAAACAAAACAAAATTGGAGATGTTTGAAAGAGAACACAGGGGCCAGCGGATGGTGTTAACAGTTATGTTGCTGGACTCACACATGGTTGACCGTAGTTTGAGTCCTGGACCTAGTGGCTTAAAACTCACGCCCGGCACATGTGCGTGCATGTCTAAGATCCTGTGAGAATGAAGAAGGGATTGTGACGTGGCCGTCCCCCCTGGGGGAGTGATTTCTCAGTTTCCTTCTCACTGTCTCTCTCTCTCTCTTTCCAGTGAGTGCAGGTGCCCTAAGGCAAAAATTTCAAAATAAATAAATAAAAGTGAAGACATGGTAGTCAATGATTTGGTAATTTATTGGCCTTATAAATTCTTGATTTTAGTTTCCTTTAACTTCATTTCCAAGAAAGATCCAGCTACTTAGAACATTTTGGACTTTCCCTCTATTCTCTAGTTTTTTTTTTTCTTTTTTTGGGAGAGGGTTTTGCTATAGGGTGCATGCACTCGCCAGACAGAGACAGAGAGACAGAAAGCGAGAAATCACCCCCCAGGGGGGATGGCCACGCCGCAACCCCTTCTCCTCCATTCTCCTCTCGGGATCTTGGGCATGCATGCACATGCGCCCGGCGTGAGTTTTAAGCCACCAGGTCCAGGACGTGAACCGCAGTCGACTACATGGGAGTCCAGCGACATAGCCATTACGCTAACTGCTGGTTCCCCCTCTATTATCTAGTTTTATACAGTGAGTAAAGGTTATAGCAAATACATAAATTGAAACCTGGGGAGATAACTGTCTATCAAATAATTGGAGAATTTGTATTTAATCCCACTTGTGTGTAAAATAGTCAAATCTGGGGACCCCCAGGTGGCATAATGATTATGTTGCTGGGCTCATATAGTCGACTATGGTTCAAGTCCCCAATCTGCTGGCTTAAAATCCACACTGGGCACATGTACATGTATGCTCAAGATCCTGCGAGGAGAATGGAGAAGGGATTGCAGTGTGGCCATCCTCTTAGGGAGTGATTTCTCACTTCCCTGTCTCTCTGGTAAGTGTACATGCCCTAAAACAAAAATCTCTAAAAAAGAAAAAAAAAAAAGTTGAATATCCACTTTTAGCTTTCCAGTTGGGAAATTTAATCCTGACATTCAGTGTTTTTCATTGATATGTGTGGACTTATTTTCCGTTTTTCTGGTTGTTTTGTGCTCTCTTATTTCTATTTCATGCCCTAGTTTTCCTGAAGTATTCCCTTAACTATTTCCTGAAGAGCTGGTTTAGTTTGAGGGAATTCTTTCCGCATTTGTTTACCTGGGAATGATTTTATTTCTCTTCCCCCTTTGAAAGATCATCTCATTGGGTATTGTACCCTTGGCTGAAATTGCTTTTCTTTCCTTTCAAAGTTTTAAATATATCTTCTCATTCTCTCCTTGCCTGCATTGTCTCACTTGAGGCCCAATGTTAGTTTAATGGGGTATCCTTTATGAGAAACCTGGCATTTCTCTCTTGCCGTTTTTAGAATATTGCCTTTATCTTTGATTTTTGCCTGTTTGGCTACAATATGCCTTGGAGAGGATTTTCTTACATCTGTTTGGTGTCCTTTATATCTCCTGGATTTGGATGTCCACATACCTCTGTAAATTTGTAAAGTTTTCAGCTTAATGTATCATGAAAGAGATTTTCTATGCTTTTACCTGTCTCTTCACTTTCAGGAATCTGTTATGTATTCAACCATTCAACAGTGTCTAGAATTTCCAGTATGCTCTCCTGACTTTTAATGGCTACTCCTCCCTTTTGAGTTGCTTGGACTAAATTGGAGGTTTTATCTTCAAGGTCTGAGATTCTTCTGCATGGTCTAATAAGCTGTTGATACTTTAGAGGGAGGCTTTAATTTAGTGCATCGTAGTCTATCTCCGGAAGTTCTGTTTGATTCTTTTTCAGTGTGTCTCTTTATAGAATTCCTCCTTTGAAGTCATAGAAGGATTTTCTCACTTCCTGGAATTGGTTTGTTTTCTCTTGCATCTCTTCGAGTTTTGTTATGATGACTATCTTGAATTCTATTTCTGACATTTCTGTAATGTCTTATGTTTTATTCATTATTAGTGAGGAGTTAGTAAGCTCCCTTAAGAAAATAATTTCTGATTTCTCCTATTTCTTGGGTCTCTGCTTTTATTTTTAGCCAGATATACTCTGGGATTTCTGATTTCTATTTCTTGGGTTTCTGCTTTTATTTTTAGCCAGATATACTCTGGTAATATACTCAATTCTACCTACATCTATGGAGTATGTTTCTTTCTTTGGAGAGGTTTTTGCTGTAAGGTGCATGCAATAACCAGAGAGAGATAGAGAGACAGAAAGCGAGAAATCACCCCCCAGGGGGGATGGCCACACCGCAATCCCTTCTCCTCCATTTTCCTTTTAGGATCTTGGGCATGCACGCACACGTGCCCGGGGTGAGTTCAAACCACCAGGTCCAGGACTTGAACCACGGACTACATTGGAATCCAACGACACAGCCATTACGCCAACTGCTGGTCCCATATGAAGTATGTTTCTTTAACTGTGTGCTTGAGCCCTTCCCTATGGCATTAGTTCTGTGCCAGTTTCCATGATCTACTGTGAATGGGAGTGTGGTATCCACAGTAGTTTTGAGTTCAGGTTTTCAGAGGGGGATTTCTTTCCTTTTACTGCTTGAGGAGTTATGGGAAAAGAATTCCTCCAAGTCTCCTGTCTTCAGGTGTTTGATTCCTGTATACACAAAACTTTCTGCTCCCAGTGTGGCTGGAGGTTGAGCTAGATCAGAATGTAAGGTGGTAGACCACTCTGTATGATGTGTTTGCATGTTGCATGGGCTGGAAGAGTCCCTCCTCCTCCACAGCGTGCTGGGCAGAGTGTCCCTGACGAGCTCAAGCCAAGCAGCTTGGACCTCCCTGATGCTCCTGGATGGGTGAGGGGCAGAACAGTGTCTGCAGTGTTAGTACAAGCTCCAACCTTCTCTTTATCTCAGGGACTGTGGGAACCAGGTGCTATTTTTCAAAAGCTAGAGCAGGGTTGGAGCAGCTCCGCCCACCCCTCCCCGAGCATGAGCACAAGCCAAGTGGTTGCTCCCTCTATTTCTTTTCTCTCAGGCCTGAGGGCCTTCTACAAACTTTTTAAATGGAGCTAGAAGATCCTGTACAAATCTTGAATTTCTTAGCCTTTATGACAGTATAGACTATGTACTACACGACATTATTCTGCATCGCTGATCAGGACACACAACTCTTAAGGGAAAACAAGTTGCACTTTATAACAATACATGCTACGACAAGGTGTTCAGAAATCTATGTGGCAAAAAGTTATGAAGCAACTGAACCTTTTTATTTGGGTAGGTAAAAACACAAACAGTAATGGGAAATAGAGGTAATATTGCTTCAACTTGAGTCTCTTCTCTGCCCTTGGAAAAAATGTACCAAGGGAAAGTAAAACACAGGGAATGTTTCTGATGTTTAATATAATCTATTTATCTATTCAACACTACAAATAAAGTAAATTTTGAAAATTATTTTCAAGGAGTTTCAAACAAAGACCATCTTTATTGATAAACAGACACTTTGAACTTTTTGATTACATAAACCATGCAAAATCACTGACTCACACATGATCTTTTCTGAGATGATTATAAATTTTAAAAGTTACAGTAACTGCACAGTAAAAATAATCGGGAAAATGACTCTCAATTAAGCAAAACATTATGTAGCACATATACAAGTACTGTTCATCTATTTCGATGTTTCTTTCTCCTAATGCAAATCTCTACATTTTGGAAGACTATTTATATACAGAAATGGCAGTCATTTTTGTATGTACATCTATAGTTACTCCACTTAACAATAAAAAGAAACTACAAGAAATTTTCTAATGATTTCATAAGGTTTGGTTCATTTTGTTTTGTTAATCCAAAACTGAACAATGCCCTTTTATTTAAAATGTTCAACTCCTTCAAGAAATCATTTCCTTAGAAAGATGATTTTGTTCCTAGAAAAGGTAGTTCATCCCTAGCAATCTTTTTGAATGAACACTGTTATGTAGGTATCATCCAACTTGTTTTCTGGAAGTGGAAAGGACTAGGGCTTCCTAGCAGGAGAAGCCTTAGGAAAAATCTTCCTACATTATGACACTGAGATAACTTTTTCTCTGGAGCAGTACTCTTATCCTGGTCATCCTGGTTGCTCTGGTAGTACTCTTAGTATTTGAGCTCCCAACACAGGGATTCATCTTTTTGAAATAACCAGTGATCCTGGAAAAAGGAGAACTCTGAATGTCCTGGAAACACATTCAAGTCAATTGGCAGTGAGCAGGCATAAGAATACTTTCCTAGATACCTGAAGTGCGGTGCTACTGTAACACCTGGAAACGAACAAGGCCCGTTGGAAAGGGGCAGCTGGTAGAGGCTGCAGCATTTTAAAGAGCATGGCAGAAAGTGCCTAGACTGCCTTACACAGACGGCTGGTAGAAATGTGGGTGTTAATATGAGTGTGGGCTTGACAGAAGGAACACGGACAAGAACACCTAAAACCCTACAGAGAATATCTAAATGACTGTAAACAGTTCATAGGGAAAAATGGCATTAAAGGTGCTGCCACTGAAGGCTCAGAAGGAGACGAAAAGTACATTATTAGAAAACTAGGAGAAATCATTGTTACAGAGTGGCAAAGGTTTAGCCAAATCACGTCCTATACCGATGTGGAAAGCAGGCTTGGGAAGTGAGACACTTAGGTACTTAGTTGAGATTTTCAAGGAAACTGTGAAAGGTATGGCCTGCTTTCTTTTTGCTGTTTATATTACAGTAAAATGTCAAAGGAAATAAACTGAGGGAAGAACTGCAAAATATAAAGAAGCTAGGACTTGATTTGGCAAATTCTCTGCCTACCCAAACAGTAAAATACACTGAAGTTAAGGTTTACGGTTAGGAACACCTGCTTTAGAGAAAGAGAAGAAGGTATGGGTGTACAACTTCTGCTAACACCCCAGAAAGCCCCACACTTCTGAGGAGAATCACACAGGAGACTATCTGAACAGACTGAAGGTACAACTCAGGATCCTCTCAGCTCTCTCAGAAAAAGTCCAGGAGTTGAGATTATCTAGGAAAGACACATAGAGGAATCTCTTGTCTAATGGAGATAATCCCTATGATATACTGGGTTGTCAGAAAACTCATGACACGTTTTTGCATAAAAACAGAAAAAACCCACATTACTTTTCCAATCATCCCACAGAAACAAAACCGTACGTTTCTCAGCAGTGTTACAGCAGCTGAAAACACTGTCTTCTTAAACCGAAAAGGAATAGTGTATGAAATAAAATATAAGCTGATAAAACTACTCAGCTGCAAAAATGTGCTACCTTTGTGAAAAAGGAAAAATGACTGAGACAGTCAGAAGCCTTGAGGACTGAGATGTGAGCCATGGACGATTAATCCCCGGCCTGTAACTTACTGGCAGGACTTGTACGTGGTTTGGCACTGTTGGTTCCGTTTTCTGCTTTTTGAACAGGAATGTCTATAACTGTTATTCTACCCTTATCCTGTCAAATTTGGAAGCAGACAACTTGTTTTCTGAGTTCACAGGTGGAGAGGAATTAGGCCCCAGAAAACATACATCCTCTCTCATACTTAGATGATTTAATGGATGAGATTCAAGACTTCTGAGCTGGTGAGATTCAAGTAGGTTTTGGACTATGAGCTGCTGCTGTATGGGTTGAGACTTTTGAGCACCGTTGGATGGGGTGAGTTTATTCGGGTCAGGGGTCTGTATTAAACAAGCAGAGTAATGACCTGCTCCTCAGTGTCCATCTCATCCACAAACCTGTGAATATGTAACCATAAATGGCAAAAGGGACTCTACGGATGTGATTAAGATTACTATGGACCTTGAGATGGGAGAAAATCCTGTATTATCTAGCAAGCCCAATCTAATCACAAGAATCCATTAGAGCAGAGAGCCTCTCCAGGATGATGGCAGAGAGCTGTGATTACAAAAGAAGGGGCAGAGACAAAAAACGGTGCTGCCTTTTAACACGAAAGAAGGAGCTACAAGCCAAAGACTAGACTACAGGTAGCTTCTTGAAGCTGGGAAAGTCAATAAATTTGCATTATTTTAAGCCAAAAATTTTGTAATTTGTTATGGCAGCAATGAAAGCTAACCAGAACTAGTGACCAAAAATGGAATGATGCCTGGGAAGAAGGAAAAGCTTTCTGATCATTTCTTATTTAGCCTACATCATTCAGGAAATACTTGGTGTCAGTAGAAATGGAAACACTTGTGCTGGTATTCTTTAGATTCGGTCTGACAGAATTTACGTTCTCGTATTTCTATGCTAGTTCTGTCCTGGAGTGGAACACACTCTGGGCTGCGCACTTAGAACAGTGTTTGATATATACAGTAGAGTCTCTAGAAAAATGTGTTGAATAAATAAATGTGATCAAGGCTCTCGAAGGGATTGTGATTACTTGATTCTAAAGTGCTTTTTACTATATATCTTCAAAAATTCTGACCTTTATGTCTTTTTGTTCTTGTTTATGATGGTCATAATTATAGAAAATACAAAGTTAAATTGTATTTTTGTATATTCATAATATAGTTAAATCAGTAAGTAAAATCCATACGTAAATCTTTATAGAAATAACTACTGTATGATCAAACAATTTCAAAATTAGAACAGATCCTTTTCAGTATGTACTACTTTCCAGAAATATACACTCAATATATATTCTGTAAAGTAACACACGATAGAAAAATGTTCAACTCATTTGGTCAAAAGATTTCTTAATGGCTGTTGGTCAATGCTACATTAAGTTACTTTAGTGCAAAGTGCAAATTTTACTAAATGTACTCATCAAAAAGGGTTTTTGTTCATTTTCTCTGCAAACGCTATTGCATTAACACTGAGCATGTAACAAACTGATTTGCCTACTTATATAAAAGCTATCAACATACACCAGTCCTGCAACTAAAAACTCAGACATACTTATCTCAACATCTAGCCGTAGTCCTAATTCATCTATATAATGCTAGAAGATAGGATAACAATAAAACCAAAATTTATCCATAAAAATAATAAAAGTAGTTCGGCTGTTTTTATGCTGGGAGTAGTTTCCTTACGAGTATGGCACATGATCTATTCCGCCACGCTGCTGCATGGTAGGAGTGCTGTCACTTCAGCTGCTGGAGTATCACAGTGTTAAGGACATCTGCTTCTTGCAGTGTCAGGCTTTCGTCGGTTAGCTCTTTATTTGGAAACGAAGTTGTAAGAATAAAGTTAAGAGTGGCAAATTCAGGACGAGACTGTATAATAAAGTCCCGGACATCTAGGATCCTGAAGAAATAAGAAAAAAATGTAATAGAAAAGCTATATTTTCATTATGTTTTTAGCTAAAATGAGATCATAATAAAATTACACAATTCCAACCCTTACTTACTGGTGTTGTAACCTTCTTTACTTTACGTTATTTCAATGCAAGAATCTTAGACTTAAGTTATAATATAAGGATTAATTTTGGAGTGTACCTAACATTTCCTTTGCACATAAAGTAGAAACAACCTTCAAATGAGGTAGGCATTAAGTGCTGCCAATGTTATTATAGTGTAGGTCCTACAGTTTATGTGAAGACCCAGAGAAAGGTAACTCAGACTGGCCTATGGCAACGTGAGTCCACACCTATGAAAAGTGTTGTCATAAGAATAGTTTTAAAATACCATGTATTTCATCTTGTATACATAGCTATTATTTTTTAAAAGATCTTTCCTTCTATCAAGAACTTATGGGACCAGTAGTTAGCGTAATGGCTATGTTGCTGGACTCCCACATAGTCAACCACGGTTTGTGCCCCGGACCTGGCAGCTTAAACTCACACCGGGTGCGTGTGCGTGTATGCCCAAGATCCCGAGAGGAGAATGGAGGAGAAGGGATTGTGGCGTGGCCATCCCCCCTGAGGAGTGATTTCTTGCTTTCTGTCTCTGTCTTTCCGGCGAGCGCACATGCTCTATAGAAAAAACCTCTCCCAAAAAAAAAAAAAAACTTACTCCAAAATTAAATCTAAGGAATTTCATATACAACTACTTAGATAAATAACTCGGTATATAACTAGACACTTTGCTGGTAAAGATCTTACCTGTGTGTACTGTTGAATCTCTGTATCAAACGACTCCCATCTGCTAGCCTGATCTGAATTTTTGTTGTTGGCACTGAGTCATCAATTAGAACAACTGCATTAAGTATCGACTTATCCTCCTCTTCTGGGGAGGAAGGTGTACTGACTATTTCAGGTGTGAGGCTAAGAAAAAGAAATGCAGAATCAGTGAAATCCGAATACACAGACATGTGACAAACTGGTGCCAGTAAATAAACGCTGAGATCTAGAGTTCACTGCCAAGTGATCCTTCGCACAACTCTGGTCTAGCTAGAATGTGGCTTCATTAGAGAATCCATACTTTCCTGAACGCTTTCAGTATATTATAACCAGCTGCATCCTATGATTCTGATTTAGTTTATCCAATCTCTCTCAAGAGCCTATCGCTTTCTTTCCTCCATTATCTCTTTTGAAATTTCTATTAGCACAATAGTTTCTTCAATAAGACTTTGAGCAACTCGAGTTCACGTACAAGAAAGACTAAAGGCACAGACAGACTTGGTTTTGAATTCAGCTATGTCATTTGTATAAACTTTACAAATAATTTTTTTTTTTTGGAGAGGTTTTTGCTATAGGGCGTGTGCGCTTGCCAGACAGACAGAGACAGAGAGACAGAAAGCGAGAAATCACCCCCCAGGGGGGATGGTCATGCCACAATTCCTTCTCCTCCATTCTACTCTTGGGATCTTGGGCACGCATGCACATGCGCCCAGAGTGAGTTTTAAGCCACCAGGTCCGGGATGCGAACCGAGGTAGACTACATGGGAGTCCAGCGACATAGCCATTATGCTAACTACTGGTTCCCAGTTTTTTGAATCCCAATTCTATCATTAATAAAATGGGGTACAAGGCTAATTCTATCCTATGAATGCATATTATTCTAGTAATTCCTTAGCAGTTTCTAGAACAGCTATTTTTGTTCATAAATGTCAGCACTAAATTATTAACTTAATTTCGTCTTGGTTAATATTATTTAAAAACATCTGCCCTTAGTAGTTACAGCTTTGAGAAAGAGAATGTAACTTTAAGAGTTAGTGAAGAATGATATTTTATTTATGCTGATGGCTTAAACTCATGCCGGGCGAGTGTGCATGCGTGCCCAAGATCCTGAGAGGAGAATGGAGAAGGGATTGCAGCGTGGCCATCCCCTCTGGGGGGTGATTTTTCGCTTTCTATCTCTCTGTCTCTGTCTGGTTGGCGAGTGCATGCACCCTATAGCAAAAACCTCTCAAAAAAAAAAAAAAAAAGAGATTAGAGGTCAGGGAAGCACTCCCCCAAGGGAATGGTCACTCCGCAATCCCTTCTCCTCAATTCCTCCCTCTTTTCCAGATTTTGGGCATATAGGACTGGTATGCTTCTCAGGCTACTGGGTTGAGAACTCAAACCAAGTATGGAACTGTAAGATCCAGCCACTTTAACCACGATACATGGGCTTGCCCATCACTGGACCATATCTTAGTAGCCCCTAAGGTATTAAGGGCGATCTTCCATTCTCAGCCAAAAGTAAGTATCAAAAGTCGAGTGCTCTTTTGGTTAAAAGATTTAAAAGAAATTTAGCCAAATCATTTTTTGTACTTCACAAGCTGCCAGAGGCCACGTGTGCTCACCAGAGACAGAAAAGACAGAACCCCATTAAGGCAGGGCCATGCCATGATCCTTTCTGCTCCATGCTTTCCATCCTGTTGGGATCTGGGGCATGCAGGCAGGTACACCTGGCATGTTTGCCACTGAGCCAGGACTCAGATCACAGTCAGCCATGTGGGACCTAGCTCCCTTAACCCATAGGCTTTGGAACTAGTCTGCCAAGTCCATTATAAGTATAAAAATCTTAATATTTTCTCAGTTATCTTGATGAATGCTTTGAGAGTCTTTATATTTTTTTTTCTCAAATACTGAGATTTAAATGCATTTTATAAATTATTTTCTTCCTTAAAAAAAGAAAAGAAATGTATCTGAATTTATCAGGATAAAAGTTCTTTGAACATTTGGGCTTTAGCCAATGTAAATAGAACTCACCTTTGACTCTTACTGTCAAGTAAAATTTCTCTCTTAGAACATTTAGTAAAGTGGAAAAAATTAATTGGTACTTACTGCTGACATTTTACCTTTTAAATACATAATAAATGTATGAAAAAGGGGAAAATGCTAACTTACAGGAAGTGACTAATATTAAGGGATTTATTTTCAAGTTTGGAATGAAGGGCTTAATTAGATGCACTGCTAAGCTGGCTTACTGTACCCATGTCCCTCACATAGGGACAGGGACAAAAATCAAAGAGAAAAGGACACCAGAAACTGCATGTAAAGGACTTCTCCCTCCCTCGGCCTCACCAATAACCAGGCATTCACACGAATATTACTGCATCACTATCAGCATCACAGCCACATTTGCTATTTTAGGTTAAGTCATCTAGTGAGGCAGTGTCCCACTACAGGTAACAGCAGGGATCACAGAGCCAAATGACCTAGTTTCAATGCTGACTCTCAATGCCACTCATGAGATGTGCAACCACACCATCAGTGCCTGAGTTTCCTCATTGGTAAAGACGAGGGAGCACTGTTGTAAAGATTAATTGGGACAGGGAACCAGCAGTTAGCGTAATGGCTATGTCGCTGGACTCTCACGTAGTCAACTGCGGTTCGCGTCCCGGACCCGGTGGCTTAAAACTCACGCCGGGCGCATGTGCGTGTGTGCCCAAGATCCCGAGAGGAGAATGGAGGAAAAGGGATTGCGGTGTGACCATCCCCCCTGGGGGGTGATTTCTCGCTTTCTGTCTCTATGTCTCTGTCTGTCTGGCGAGCGCACACGCCCTATAGCGAAAACCTCTCCAAAAAAAAAAAAAAAAAAATTAATTGGGACACAAAAATACTTCTAACTGCACTCTTACATAGCAGGCACTACTTAGTAGTTACTAATAGCACTGTAACTATTGTCCTAACAGCTCTAGAGGGGAACATGTGTAAGTCAAAATGAAGTTACATGGACTATTAACGTTTGAGAACTGTAATGGATGGACTTTCAAGACAATTCAGGCCGACCCTATCATTTTACTGGAAATGAACTGAGGCACAGAGCGATTAAGACACATGACAGAGGATAAGCTGGCGTGCAGTGTAAAATAATCTGTTATGTTAACGTCATTACGTTGCTTTCAAAGTCACACCAACACTACTTAAAACTTCCCCTTACCCTTCGATTGATGAAAATATTGTGATCTTTTAATATACTGCTTTTATATTTCAAGTTTTGCATTAAAAATCAATTTGGGCCAGCTAGAAGTGTGACGGTGAAGAGGGCTAAATTCCACAAAGCTGACTGCATGGCTTAAGGGCAAGATCTGGTGGCCTGAAACACATGCTGGGTGCGTGTGTGTGCGTGCGTGCACGTGCAAAATCCCAAGAGGAGAACGGGGGAGGAGGGACTGGATCGTGGCCATTCCCCCTGGCGTGTGCTTTCTCACTGTCTCTCTGTCTTTCTCTAGTAAGTGCACGCGCCCTAAAGCAAATTTAGAAAACCTTTTTGGAACAGAAGATAGGGAAGTTAACTGGTAAGACTAGGTTTTAAACAAAGGGAAGGAAAGGACGTGCACTGTAACTAAAATAATCTCTGCAGACAAGAGGGGAAGCACCCATTTCTTCACATTATTTTTTAAGTTTATTTATGAAAGAAAATGCATGTACATGTGTATGAGAGAGAGAAAAAAGAAAGAGAAAGGCACCCTGCACAGGGTTGACTCCATCACACTGTGATCCCTTTCTGCGGGCCCTCCAATTTGTCCCTTGACTGCACGTGCATGTGCCCATGTGTTTTCTGGGGATCTGAACCTGTGGTTAACCATGTGGCTTCCAGCAATGCAGTTCAATTTGCTACTGAATGCACCACCAAGCTGGGTCCCTCCTCTTCAACCTTCAGGAGGGAGAGGGAATGGACACAGACATTAATATGAGGAGAACAAATGAAGAAAGTTTATTCTTCTCAGGTTCTATTTTTTTCTCAGTGAATCTAGAAACAAAGAAGTCTGCTGAGAGTAAGGGGTGAGAGTAGAATGTGGGCTCAAGGAAACAGGAATCACTGGGGCCAGCCTCGTGACAAGGGGTAGTTCAGAACCATCTGCCCAACATTGGCACAGCTGAAATGGTTTGCCAACAGCACCAAGCCATGCGAGGGCAGATAACCAGACAGCTATAGCCAAGAGGGTGCGAAGAGCAGGGTAAGAAAAAATGAAAGGGAGGCAGGAAGGTGCCTCAGGCTTTAGAGGAGAGAGCGCTCTGGAGCCCAGAAACCAAGACGAAAGCAAACCTCAGCTGCTGTGCCGGGAATGAGGGAAAGCGGAAGCATAATCGTTTGGACTGGACAGTATGACAATTCGGCAGTGACTCAGTTCCTAAACAGAGGGAGAGAACTGCCTCAAATCATGAGTTTTATTAATACACATGCCAGGCCAAAGGCTTACAGTGACTGCAAACCCATTAGTACTGCCTATCAAAATTACCCTGTGGTTTTCTAAGCAGTTTGCTTTTTGGGTTCTACTCTAGCTCACCAAGTGCTTTTTACTCAGTGACACGGTCTGTTTTACCATTATCAATTTCCAGTCTCATCTCCATGATTTGCTTGCTTCTATTATGTGTGTAAATACTTACAGGGAAATTTTTTACTGTGTTTATTAGATTTCTTCTGTAATTATTTACACATCACAATAAAAAATTAAATTAGTTTCCATTGGGGCCGGCAGGTGGTATGGTGGTTAGGGAGCTGGACTCCCACATGGCTGATCACGGTTTGAGTCTTAGACCCGGCAGCTTCTTTCTCACTTTCCATTTCTCTCTCTCTCGTTAAATTAAGAAAATAATAAGAACAACAAATAAAATTAAGGGGATCAGCAGTTGGCACAGTGGTTATGTTGCTGGACTCCCATGTAGTTGACCACAGTTTGAGTCCCGGATCTGGTGGCTTAAACTCACACTGGGTGCGTGTGTGTGCCCAAGATCCTGAGAGGAGAATGGGAAAGGGATTGCAGCGTGGCCATCCCCCCTGGGGGGTGATTTCTCACTTTCTGTCTCTGTTTCTGGTGAGCACACGTGCCCTGTAGCAAAAACCTCTCCAAAAAAACCCCCAAACAACAAACAAATAAAATTAAACAAATATTCTTTAAAAAATCCCAGTTTCCATTAAGTAATGTTTCATTTGTCATGAGACTGACATCTGTAGAAGATAATAGGCTATTCCCATTTCTTTTCAATTTGCTTTCTTTTATTTCTCTGTTCAGTAAATAGTTGTCTGAAACCCTTAGGAAATGAAACATGGTAGAAAAGCACTTTCTAACTAGGTAAAGATGAACTGATTCATATCTTAAGTAGGCTGGTAAGATGTCCTTCACTTATTAGAAGATAAGACATTTCTTATTCCACATTTGGGTTCCTGCACATGCAGGCTCAACCCATAAAGCTAATCTCTTTGTAGTGGAAACAGTCTATACTCTAGAAGCCAAAACTTCTAAAGACTACATTTCTCAGACTCCCTTGCAGCTAGGACTTTATGTTTTTGCACTTCTACCAAACAGCAAGCACATTTGTGTGGTGACCATGTAGTTGACCACAGTTTGAGTCCCGGATCTGGTGGCTTAAACTCACACTGGGTGCGTGTGTGTGCCCAAGATCCTGAGAGGAGAATGGGAAAGGGATTGCAGCGTGGCCATCCCCCCTGGGGGGTGATTTCTCACTTTCTGTCTCTGTTTCTGGTGAGCACACGTGCCCTGTAGCAAAAACCTCTCCAAAAAAACCCCCAAACAACAAACAAATAAAATTAAACAAATATTCTTTAAAAAATCCCAGTTTCCATTAAGTAATGTTTCATTTGTCATGAGACTGACATCTGTAGAAGATAATAGGCTATTCCCATTTCTTTTCAATTTGCTTTCTTTTATTTCTCTGTTCAGTAAATAGTTGTCTGAAACCCTTAGGAAATGAAACATGGTAGAAAAGCACTTTCTAACTAGGTAAAGATGAACTGATTCATATCTTAAGTAGGCTGGTAAGATGTCCTTCACTTATTAGAAGATAAGACATTTCTTATTCCACATTTGGGTTCCTGCACATGCAGGCTCAACCCATAAAGCTAATCTCTTTGTAGTGGAAACAGTCTATACTCTAGAAGCCAAAACTTCTAAAGACTACATTTCTCAGACTCCCTTGCAGCTAGGACTTTATGTTTTTGCACTTCTACCAAACAGCAAGCACATTTGTGTGGTGACAGTAAGTGCTGTGAAGGGGAAGTGATGCAGATCTTCTGGTATCAACTGATGCAGGCACCTGCTTCTGCAGCAGTCACAGTGGGATGTTAGTGGCTGGTCCCCAGCTTCGTGGGCACTGAGCAGCTGAGAGCACATGGGAGTGTTTTCTCTACTACAGTCCTCTATTCTAGACATTTGCTTCTCCTAAGGAAACGCTGGTTTGCTGTCTCTTTCAGAAATTCTATAAACTACTCAAGATCCCGTAAGAAACCTCTTAACACTTAAACCGTCAAGTAGCTTCTATATTCTATAATCAAAACCTGGGTCAATATAGCTAGTGATCATATGGCATTATCATTACTGCTACCTGTCACTCACTCTCATCAATTTTCCCTTTCTTTTTGTCATTTTCTCTAGCTACATAAAGAAAAAGGTTGGTATTTGTGCAATACTATCATCAGATAATATCCTCATTTCATGGGTTGGAACTGCAGATTGGGGCTGGCCCCATGGCCAAGTGTTTATGGGAGCTAGAGCCCATCGGGGGCCAACTGCTGTTCAAATCCTGACATCAAGAGGCTTGAAAAGCATGCTGGATGCGTCTGTGTATATCTCAAATCCGAACAGAATGGATTAATAGAGAAAGGACAGCAACGGGGCGGGGGGGGGAGGGAGGTGCTCTCTCTATTTCTTTCTCTTTCTCTGTCTCTCTGGTAAGTGCATGCACTCTGGCTATTAAGAAAACAAAAAAAGAACCTGTAGATTATACTACTAGCTCTTCTCCGTTGTCTTTCCTGTAGGCTACCTTCTTTAATCCCAATCTAGATTTACTATAGTTCTACTAGTAAAGATACGCAGTCTAACATTAATTCTTGGTTATACATTTAAATAAGAGTATGTATATGACAAAGAGAGATGACTGAGCATTTTATCATGTTTTAGTTAAAAATCATAGCCCTGATAAATAGTAAGTGAAAATGAGAAATGCTAGAAAATTTAAAAACATAAGATATATTGGGAGTCATAGTTATAAAAGTAAGAGGAGAGGGGAAATATAGTACAGATCAGAAGAAGCCTGACTTGTGTTAATGGAAAACAGAGATGAAAAAGAAAATTTCTAAGTTAGTCCTGTGACTGGACACCACAGGGTTTGCGTTCTCAAAATAGGCAGGGTCAACACGTATTCCTATATTCCCTATATGTTCCAAGAATCGGATTCTTATCAGAAGAAAAGGATACAGAAAGGGAGACTAGATATATCAAAGACATGTATTTAAAACAATATTGAGTTATTTTCTATTTTGTGATGAGAAGAACCAGGGTGAACAAGGCAACTGGAAAGAACTTGGGAGAGGAGGAAACACATAAAAAGGAACCAAGGATATGCAAATGGGTACGTTAGAAACAAGTGCTGAAATTCTATGTCACCTGTGATGATGTGTGGATAAACAGAGAGTAAGGTAACTTTTGCCAGCATAGTTCACGAGATTTATGAAGATCTGCTAAGTCACAGATATTATCAAGGAGACACTCATACATTATGTCATGCAAAGTGGTTTTTAAGTTGGATTCTTCAAAGTCCTAGGGCTCTTTAGAAATGTCTTGGTGCTATTCCCTCATTATCTACCACTGACGGAGTTCAGATCTACATTGATTTACCTACTGGGCTTCCATAACTTGGAAATTTTGGCTATTTAAAAAACCACTGAGATAAGCACATGGCTCCCACTGCAAGAGCTTAGTAATTACTTATGGTGGACATGGATGCTTAAGGCAGCGATGAAAGACATCCACGGTTTCACCTGATCAACACCCTTCCCATTTTCCCACCTGAACTGTGTCACCAGGAAGAGGCAGATGGCACAGAGAAGAACAGTCTGGAGCCCGAGTGCTTGGGCTGGAATTCCACATGCCAGTCACTTAGCTCAGTCATCTTGGGCAAATTACTGCACCTACAACGTGGAGTACTGATAGCACCTATAGCAGAGAGTCGCTATGAAGATGAAGTGAATGAATGTGTGTGAAGTGCTTTGAGGGCCTGGAATGTGGTAGATGCAATCTAAGAATTAACTACTAATATTATCACCAGATTTGCATATTTAGTTCTATTAGCAAAGTCTTCACAGTTCATATTTAGGTTATCACGTTACTGGTCATTTTGCTTTTTACTTTCTCCAAAAAAAAAAAAAAAAAAAAAATCGTATTGAACAAAGACAAGCATTTTCCTAATATTACGATTTTACCTTCCAAGTTTTTGCCCTTCTCCACTAAAGGCCTTGAACCTCAGTCTAGGTTTTACATATTCTTGATCCTGATGATCCTCCATATCCAAATTCACCTGGCATCCATGGACCAGTCGCTGAAGCTCCAGGGGAATCTCTCTTTCAAAGAGAGGAAAAAGGTTTTAGTTAAGTTTTACAAAAATTAAACTACAGTGTTAAGATTACTGTTCATGAACAACAACAAAAAAAACGCAGCAATTTTTGTTTAAATTGTATTATAAAAATTTCCATGACAACTCACCAGTCTGAGTAGATTTCTCTCCTGTTTTGGCTGTAGGGCACATGTGTCAGCTAGAGAGAGAGGGAGAGGAGAAAGCACCCCCACCATGGGGCATGGTCATGCCACAATCCCTTCTCTACGTATCTCCGTCTTTTGGGGATTTTGGGCAGGCACATATATTTTTCTGGTGTGTTTTTTATGCCACAGGGTACAGGACTCAAATTGTGTGGTAGGCCACGTGGGATACAGCTATCCTAACCACTGGACCGTGAGCTGGCCTGATCTTTCTTTTTTAAAGTTACCTCACATATTCTTCTGTGGCTCTCAACATATAGATGTTTTGGTTGTCACACTGATCTTGGATTGCTTCTGGCATTTAGACAGCTAAACTGTAAGACAGCAATTTATATCTAAATTAGTACAAGAAAATCGCTATGAGGACAGTTAGCGTGGATATTTATTTCTCAGCTCCCTGGGGGAAGTTCTGAGAAGTGACAGGGGTGTTTCTGACTGTCCGGTGACTTGCGTGTGCTGCTGTTCTGCATGAGGTGTTACAATGGAGAATTCGTCTTGTATAAGGAAGGCTTGTCTTGGGTTTCACAGAATCACTGAGTGCCTCAACAGAGAGGCATGTAGATGATAACACTGTTTATAATATAATGTCTGAGCCTAAAACCTAACTCTATCTTACATATAAGCAAAAAGCATTTTTTAGGGTTAATACACTTTCAAATTTCTAGGAAAACATCCATGTAAACTGAGGAAAGACTACAGTTCAGTTGAAACTTTACCAAGTCCTTAAATACAATGCCAAGCACAGCAATAAGTTGATAATTTTAAATATTTAATTATTCTGTTTTTGTATCTATCACATTTGCATGATTAGTGCTAGAGTGTATACAGGTGCAAACTATCTGACTACTTCTTGTGTCTTTCTGGTGTGGTCATATCTGGGCATTTACAAACTGAAATATGTAATCATTTTATAATAAACTACTTTCTGGGGCAGGAGGCATGGTGGTTAAGGCACTGAACTCCCACATGGCCAACTGCAGTTTGAGTCCTAAACCTGGTACTTGAAAATCACACTGGGTGCATATGAATGCATGCTCAGGGTTTCAGCAGGAAAAGGAACTTCCATGTGATCACTGCCCCCAGCAGGGTGATTTCTCACTTTCCCTCCCACCGAGAGCACATGTGCCTTATGGCAAAAATCTCAAAAAGAAAATTACTTTATTTCTTTAATATATTTAAGGTAGAATATTATACCAACTTCTAGGCAAAGTGCATAAGTAGATAATATTATATTTGAGTTCTTTGAGGATAGTGAAGATGGTGTTACAGAATATTTATTATGAAAAGGAAACAATGGGTCTTAAATAATTGAGAATCACTATCTGACATCATTTATTTTCTTCAAAGAGTCTTTTGTAAAACTCTTCTTGATTGTAATTTGTACTTGAGGATGTAGCATGGCTTGAATTTAAAAATCCCTTTTTTTTTTTTTAACACTTTTGCCATAGGGCAAGTGCGCTTGTGAGAAACAGAGAGAGAGAAAGAAAGAGCATGAAAGTGAGAAATCAGCCCCCAGGCAGGATGGCCACACTGCAATCCCTTCTCCTCCACTCTCCTCTCAAGATTTTGGGCGCGCACATGCCTGGTACGATGTTTAAGCCACCAGTTCTGAGACTTGAACTACAGTAAGCCATGTGGAAGTCCAGCACCTTAAAACACCATACCACCTGGTCCTTAAAAATCCTTTTTTAATATACTGTTTTGTTTGAACATTACTAGCCTAACAAGTTTATGTGTCATTGTCACTTAACAATAAATTAATTTTGATCTGTACCATAGGACATGCATAATCACTATGTTCTTTTCTTTCACCAACAATCGCAGCAGCAATAGTGGGCTTAGCAGATAACACTCCCCCAATCAGGTGTTACTGCTCTTCCCACTGATTCTACAGATCTCCAAATCCACTCACAGCTCTGACTTGACCATTAGGTCCTTGTATTTGCTACCAGCATTCACTGCCTCAGAGAACGGCTTCCCACCTTTCTCAATGACTGAAGGCAGGAAATGACTTCTTGCCTTTGTTTGGTGTGTTGCATAATCTGTATAGAATTTAAATTCAGAATTCATGGGACCAGCAAGTGGCATGGTGGTCAAGGCACTGGACTTTCACATGATTGATCGTGGTTCAAGTCTCAAACCTGACAGCTTGCTGTCTCACTTTCCCCCTCTCTGGTAAGCACATGTGCCCTAACAGCAAATTAAATGAATGAATGAATGAATAAATAATAAAAATAAATAACTCTTAGAAAAAAACCCAGTGGGACCATCAGTTGGTGTAATGGCTATGTCGCTGGACTCCCATGTAGTCGACTGTGGTTCGAGTCCTAGACCCAGTGGCATAAACTCAGACTGGGCACATGTGCATGCGTGCATGCCCAAGATCCCGAGGAGAATGGAGAAGGGATTGTGGTGTGGCCATCTCCCCGGGGGCTGATTTCTCACTTTCTGTCTGTCTGTCTGTCTCTGTCTTTCTGGCGAGTGCACACGCCCTATAACAAAAACCTCTCCAAAAATCCCCCCAGAATTCATGCTAATTAGACTTTTAAAATACATTTCCTCCAGACTTCTTTAACCACCTCAACTCCAAAGAATATCATCTGCCTTCCACTTTAGCCCCTTTCCCTGGACAAGTCTCATGGGTTAGAAAAGCTCTGCCTTCAGCTCTTCTATAGAGTGAAACTCCCTACTCTGGTCCCTTTGTTAACTTCATCTCTCAGTTATCATCAACTTTATGTTGGTAGTTATATTTCTACTTAGGAAAGATCTCCTTACAACTAGTGAAATCATAATTTAGAAATGCTTTTATTATCATAAAAAACTACTTGAGCTCTCATCCTTGAGCCAGAGAAGGGTCAGTGAGTTATGATGTTCTTCAGATGGCCAAAAGAACTGGTTATCTAGTTTACTTTAACAAATTATAACTTCAAACTAACCTTTTGAAATCTTCTGCCAGCAGTAATGCCACATTAAAAGATTACTAATAAAAGTTGCTGAATTTCAGGCATACATGCAATGAATTATCCTGTCAACAGTAAGCAGGACAGTGGCTTAGTGGAGGGGCAACATTTTGTAATCAACTCACTGACTTAGTACATTAAGATGTTTGTTCTTAGAGTTGGGTTTATAGTTCCATCGAGTTTAAAAGAGGCCAATGCTCAATTTCCCTTCTGCACAACATTAACATACCAGTCATAACAATACTTTATGTAGCAGTCCTGAACCTTTTTGGTACCAGGACCATTCTGGAGAAGACAATCTTCTCACAGTGGGCTAAGGGGACATGGTGGGAGGGATGGTTTCAGGATGATTCAAGCACATTATATTTATTATATACTTCATTTCTGTTACTATTACATTGTAATATATTATAAAATAATTATACAACTCACCATAATGCAGCATTGTTGCTGATTCCCAGTACTAGCATCACTGCCTCACCTCTACTTCAGATAATCAGGCAGTAGATTCTCAAAAGGAGCATGCAACCTAGATCCCTTGCATGTGCAGTTCACAATAGGATTCAGACTCCTATCAGAATCTAATGCTGCTGCTGATCTGGCAGGAGGCAGAGCTCAGGTGGTAATGGTGTGCTGGGGAGTGGCTATAAATGCAGAGGAAGATTTGCTGGCCTGCTGCTCACCTCCTGCTGTGCAGCCCAGTACAAGCCTGTGGCCTGCAGGTGGAGGACCCTTGTGTTATGGACTTCAGATAAGGGCATCCCTCCAGTGACTGCTTATATAATACTATATTCCAGTAACTAATTCTTGAAAACCAGTGGTACACTACTGAATAGTAGTTTGTCAAATGAAAAAAGTCCCACTCTAAATAACAAATAGGATACAAATAAACACTTACCCTCTCTTAACGGACTCCAGAAATTGAGCATTTGTCGGGTCACTGTAAGGTCTCAATTCTCCATCATCTAAACTGAAGCCATTGCTCCACAGTTTAAGTAAAATCTGAACCTTTCAGGCACAGGAAATAAAAATACAAAAATTCATTTCCACCAAACAATTTTAACTTTCAAATGTGATAACTCACAATATATTAAACCATTTACTTAACTTAAAACAGGTTATTCACACTAGCCTTCATTTATAAAGGCATAAATGAAACCAGGTATGTGTGCCCAGCAGATACGTATTCAGCTCATCAGGTTGACAATGGTAGCAAATACCGAGGCTGATGGACCCTGGCCTTGCAGTATAATTACTGGTGGCTCCCAAAGGAAACGAGAGCTGTAAGAAGACAGCATCCAGTTGCCACTAACTGTTCCCACCCTTCTCATCTGCACCATATTCTTCTTCTCTGCCATAGGACTTAAATATTCACACTAAGCGGAAAGACAGACTTTCTAGTGACCTTCCAAGAGAGCATAAATGTTTGAAGTGAATTCGTAACTCCGAAGTTATAAAAGGCAACAGAAACAAAGAATGACTTTAGGTGTTCTATGTTTACAACTTAGCTCATTTTATATTATAGACAAATTACACTATTTATAATAACAAAATATATGTAAACTCACTTTGACAGTGAACACATTCTGTCAGCAAATATCTATGGGTCTCTAAATGCAAAGCATGACTAAGACACAAAGCATAAAAACTGGGGCTCTAAGTCCACATTGATCCTTCTGGCTCTTTTCAAAGAGAAACACAAAGAAACTATATTATCAAGTTTTAATTGTGTAAAACAAAAGTAGAGGGAAATATAGATCTTTGGGTTTCAATTATTGTGCTTACATCTTGCAGCTGATTTTCTCCATAGATATATTCGGACCGCTTACAAAAGGAATTACCCAATCTGTATCCTCCGCCTGTAAATGACTGAAATACACAGCAGGTGAGTTAATTCGCAAAATGTGAAAGTGTGTAATATTTATTTTAAAACTATATAAAGTATAATTAGCCAAACTGGTTCAAACTTACCAGAAAAACTATATTAGAATGGAAGTCTTATGCTACAGAGAATCATATTCAAGTACAAATATTGTTTTTTTTTTTTTTTTTTTTTTGAGAGTTTTTTTTTGCCATATGGCATGTGCACTTGCCAGAAAAACAGAGAAAGACAGAAAGTGAGAAATCTCCCCCCAGTGGGGATGGCCACACCGCAATCCCTTCTCCTCCATTCTCCTCTAGGGATCTTGAGCATGCATGCACATGCCCGGTGTGAATTTAAACCGCCAGGTCCGGGACTCGAACCATGGTCAACTACATGGGAGTCCAGCGACATAGCATTACACCAACTGCTAGCCCCCAAATTATGCTTCTTTCCATAAAAAAAATTAATGACTCAGAGGCTGAAAGAATTTATAGAGTAACCTTAAATAAAACATGCATTTAAACATTAAACTAAATCTGTAAGTAATTTTGGCTCATGCAGCTTCTCCAATTCTGTAAGAAAAATGTGAAATTGATATAATTTAGTCTAGAAAATTAAACAGTGTGATAATTAAAAACTTATTCATGATATAAATGGTGACTAAAAGGAATGATATTTTTGTCTCATACAGACCACGTGAAAAAGCAGAAGCCCTTGTTATTGGTGTTGCCACCTCCATTTAGTTCCAAAACAATTTTTTTTTTGAGAGATTTTTGCTGTAGAGCGAGTGTGCTCGCTGGCAAGACAGAGAGACAGAAAGCGAGAAATCACCCCCAGAGGGATGGCCATGCCCCAATCCCCACTCCTGCATTTCCTCTTGGGATTTTGGGCATGCATGGGCATGAGTTTCAAGCTATCAGTTCCGGGACTCAAACTGCACGTGGCCATGTGGGAGTCCAGTGATGTAACCATTACACCATCTCCTGGTCCCAGTTCTAAAACATTTTTATCACCCCCAAAGAAAACCCTGTACCCATTAAGTAGTCACACCCTTTCCCACTTCCTCTGAGCTTCAGCCCCTCACATAAATCTGCTTTGGTCTGTAAAGATTTGCCTGATCTGGACAGATCGTATACAACAGTCCCCGCTTCCTGCAGTTTTGCTTTCTGCAGTTTCAGTTATTCCCAGTCAACTGTGGTCCAAAAACAGCTGAAACAGACAGTATATAATATTTTAAGAGAGGAAGAGAGTGACTACATTTATATAGCTTTTATTACAGTGTATTGCTATCACTGTTTCACTTCATCAGTACTTATTGTTGACTACCTTACTGCTCCTCATTTAAAAAGCACACTTTATCATAGGTATGCATGTACAGTAAAACCAATACATATGGGGCTTGGTCCTATTCACAATTTCAGGCATCCACTAGGGGGTCTTGGAATATACCCCCACAGCTAAGGGAGGCGTCTACCTTCAGCAGCATAAAAAATGCTGACTTGTTACAGCTGAATAAAAGCAGCTTCTAAATAAGAATAGAGCTTTTTAAGGGTAATTTCTACCCAATTATAAATTTTTTCTTTACTCCATGAAATCACCCCATGATTTGATTATAAGTCTTCTCCTAAAATAATGATAATTTAAAAAAATCTCTGTCTGTTTTATTTATAATTTCCTTCTTGAGAGAGGGACAGACAGACCTGGACACCGGGGTCTCCACACCGTGACTCTCCCCTCCGCTCTACAGCCAGTCATGTCCATGGCATACCCAGCTTGTCGGGGCAGACCCTGGACAGGAACCTAGAGCCTTCCCACATGGGAAGCACTGGGGAGCCTGCCAAAATTACTTAAAGATTTGACTGAAAGAGAATTTCATCTGCTAAAAAATAATGAAATGAAAATTAAAATTTAAGTTTCACTTAGAACAGAAATTCTCACCAATGCTTCTCAATAGTGAATGTCAAAACAATCAGAAAGACCATTTCTTTGGGAGAGGCTTTTGCTTAGGGCGCATGCTCTTGCTAGAAAGAGAGAGAGAGAAAGAGAGACAGAAAGCAGATATCACCCCCCCCCTCAAGGGGGGATGGCCACGCTGCAATCCCTTCTCCTCCATTCTCTTCTCCGGATCTTGGGCATGCACGCACATGCGCCTGGCCTGAGTTTAAGCCACTGGGTCCATGACTCTAACCACAGTCCACTACATGGGAGTCCAGCAACATTGCCATTATGCCAACTGTGGTCCCAAGACCTTTTTTTTTAAAAAAACAAAACAAAACAAAAAACTATTTATTAAATTTTATTTATTCATTCATTTTTAATTTGACAGAGAGAGACACAGAGAAAGAGAAAGAGAGACAGAGAAAGAGGGGAAGTGAGAAAACAAGCTACCAGCTCCAGGACTTGAATCATGGTCAGTCATGTGGGAATGCCTAGCACCTTAACTACCATGCCAACTGCTAGTGCTCAAAAAGACCTTTTAAAAAGACTTACATCTACGGGACTAGCAGGTGGCGGGGTGGTTAAGGTGATGGACAGTCCCACATGGCCGACCACGGTTCGAGTCCCAGACCTGGTGGTTTCCTCTCTCACTTTCCCTCTCTCTCTTTCCTCTTCTGTGTCTCTCTCTGGTCAAATTAAAATAAATGAGTGAATAAATAAAATTAAATAATTGTAAAAAAAAAAAGAGAGACTCACATCTAGATACACCTCACATCTTTTCAACCATGTGGTAGTTTAGAAAACTTCCCCAAATGATTTTTGTGGGAGAATTCCAGGTTGAAAAAATGTTAATTATGACATGGAAGCAACCCATGTATCCATCAACAGACAAATAGTTTAAAAAAATGTGGCATGTATATACGCACATACATACACACGATGGACTACTATTCAGCCATTTAAAAGGCTGAAATCATGTCATGTTAGGTTAAATGGATGAGCCTGGGGGGCATTGTAAGTGAAATAAGTCAGACACAGAAAGAGAAACACTTCATGTTCTCCCTCAGATGTGGAAATTACAGTATGGGAAAAATGGCTGCAAAGATGTATCTGACAAAAGACTCACTATTATTAAGATATATTTAAAGACTCTCAAAACTCAATAGTAACAGGGAACCAGCAGTTAGCATAATGGCTATGTCGCTGGACTCCCACGTAGTCAACCGCGGTTCGTGTCCCGGACCCGGTGGCTTAAAACTCACGCCGGGCGCGTGTGCGTGCGTGCCCAAGATCCCGAGAGGAGAATGGAGGAGAAGGGATTGCGGCGTGACCATCCCCCCTGGGGGGTGATTTCTCGCTTTCTGTCTCTATGTCTCTCTCTGTCTGTCTGGCGAGTGCACGCGCCCTACAGTGAAAATCTCTCAAAAAAAAAAAAAAAACTCAATAGTAACTAATCAAACAATCCAAATAGAAAATGAACAAGATCATGAAGAAATAATTCACTGAAAAGAGTAATTAAGATAATGAAAAGTTAAGTAAGTACCTGAAAAGTGAACAACCACTAGCCATAAGGAAAATGTAAACATCATTAGTCTTTAGAGAAATGCAAATCAGAACCACGGTGTGTAATCACTAAATGACTAAATTTAAAAATAGGAAAATACAAAATGCTGACAAGAACATGGAAAAACTAGACATCTCATACACTGTGGGCATATAAAATGGTACAAATGCATTGTTAAGTGTTTGGTAGTTTCTTAAAACACTGAATGTACATGTAAGCACATGACCTAGCAATTGGACTCCTAGGCATTTATCCCAGAGAAACAAAAACCTACATCTGTACAAAAACTTGTACACATTGCTCACGGTATCTTTATTCGCAATGGTTAAAAACCAGAAATAATTAAATTGTCCTTCAACAAATAAATAGTTTCAAATGGAGGTCTACCCATCCTGTGGAATAATACTCAGGGGTAACAGGAACAAAACACTGACAGATGGAGAAACTGATGGATCTCAAGGGCCTTACACCAAGCTACCCCTCATAGTCACACGCTGTATGATTCCATATGTGTAACATTCTCAGTATTATGAAATTACAGAGATGGAAGACAGATGAGTGTTGGCCAGAGATCGGAGATGGCAGGAGAGAGAACGGTGGGGATCACTAGCAAGGGATACATCATGAGGCAAGAGCTCTGTGTTGATGGAATAGTACCATCATGGTTGAGTACACAAATCTATATACACACCTGCAACAAGGTCAAATTTCTGCCTTTCATCTTTTATTATAATCATGTAAAATGTAACCACTGAGGAAAACCGGGGTAAGGTACCTGGGACCTCTCTGTATTCTTTTTACAAATTCCTATCAATCTGTAATTATTTCAAAACTAAACAGTACATAACAGTGGCATAAAAATGTAAGAAATTGCTTCGACTTTAAATCATGAATAGAAGTTATAACCTCGTAAAAGTGAAACAAATATTTACAACAGAAATATGAAATTAGAAAACAGTGTTTGCAAATAATATAAAAAATAATAGAAGGAATCAAACATAGAAAAAGTATAGTTAGTTTAAAACTTGCACACTCACCTTAGACTTGTCATCACCTGAAGTTCTTGTGGCTTCATTCAGAGGGACGGCCCCATGTTCCCTCGCCTCTTTAAAAAGTTCATTCACAATTTTCCCAGTTGAAGGTCGAACTATATGCAATCCACTGTATTCACGTTCACTTGAATAAAACCTTTAAACATTACAGTTCATGAATAAAAACTCAGAATAACAGATATGAACTATTCTGAAGAGTTACACGGTCTTACAAAATGACTTAAATTATTCCTGTGACTTCCATAGTAATGTTGAATTTTTAAAGTGAGATTAAGAAAAACATTAGTAAATAGCTCAAATACTTTGAGTTTGCAGATTCTGATAGCAACCGTGGCCTCCAGCATGAGAGCTGGCTTGTGTGCTTGCTCTCCTCCCTTGGCCCTGTGCACTTGCTTATCAAACGCATCTCTTCACAGATCGGACACTCGTGATGTAGGGAAGGTAGTGTCGACAACTGGAAGCTGGTTCCTTTCCCCTAAGGAGCCCACACTTAGTAAAGACCTAGTTAGTGAAGAGATCACTAGATTTGGACCTTACAAACATCTAATTCTAGACAACAGGGCCACACACTGAGTTCATTTCTTAGAAATTGTTTGGATTGAAGAGAGCTACTGTATTACAACTCCTGTATTGAAAGTAAACAAATTTTCTGTGTCTGAGCTATGCAGTGACCACTGTGTACTCTGCTCCAACTTCAGAAATGGGCCTAGAGAACACAGAAATAGCAGTGCTGGATTCTACTGGGCAAAGAAACAGCAATTTTGGTACCAAGAAAGTCAAGGAGAGACTTGAGGAAATGAGACAGAAGATGGGCTTAAAAAGGTTAATATTTTGGAAAGTGGTTAACGCATCACTGAGGAAAGTCTTTGGGGTTTTGGCCTTTGAATAAAACTAAGGTTGAAGGAATTTCTTTTTTCTTTCTTTGGGGGAGGTTTAGTTTAGTTTTGTTTTTTTGGCTATAGGGTGAGTGTACTAGTCAGAAAGACAGAGAGACAGAAAGCGAGAAATCACCCCCGCCAGGGGGGATGGCCATGCCGCAATCCCTTCTCCTCCATACTCCTCTCGGGATCTTGAGCACGCGTACACATACGCCCAGTGTGAGTTTAAGCCACGGGGTCTGGAACTCGAACTGCAGTCAACTACATGGGAACCCAGTGACATAGCCATTACACCAACTGCTGGTCCCCTGAGGGAATTTCAATAACTTGACCATTTGCAAAATCTTATTAGAACAGAGAGGAAAAAATATTAGAACTGAGTTATGTCTATCTCCAGGGTTAAAGCTTTTATCACTTTATTAAAGTTTTTATAATTAAATTTACATTAAAAAACATTCTGGCTTTCTGCTGCTTGCTCTACCCAATATAACTCACCATCTTGGCTTCCCAGTCCACAATGTGGCTGTATCCAGCACTGGCTACACAATGTGTGGAGCCCAGAGCAAAATGAGAATGTGGATCTCCCGTTCAGAATTGATGAGGAATTTCAGACAGAAGCAGTAAAGTGCTAACCAAAGCCCCCGGCTGCACCTTATCCACCTGACCTTATTTGCCACTTATTCATTAAACTTACGCTGGTTCCTTTTCTGATCCCTCTGGTAATTTTGATTATTTTCTCTTCTGTGCCTCTTCAGACCTGGAACTTATCTCGTCTTCTACGCTTACCTAATTCCTACTCACTTTTTAAGGCCCAGTTAAGTATCAGCTCTGTACTAGGCATCTTATACACTTTATCTCATTTAATTCTCAAAACAGTATTATGTAACCACTTGTAGAGGGCATTTCTTTAAGCTCTGCTTGTGACATATAGCCTTTCTTAGACGAATACGTTAAATTGGCATCAGGCTATATTTCTGAGGTCTTTTCTGTCAATTATGTATCTCCGCATGTAAATTAAAAACACAGACCACATTATGCTGCATTTCAGATAATGAAAATACACTGGCTTAAAATGACAATAACTGTTTTGATTCCTAATAATGCCTAAGGTGGACCCTGAAAGTAAGCACTATTTTTCGTACTTGAACAAATTAAAACTGAGTAAATGTTCATATTAAACATGAAATTGAAAGAGCTACATTCTTTCTTTCTGCCTGTGGAAGCCACTGGGAAAGCATTGAAGTCTCTCTTCCCACTGTCTTCATATCTAAGTCCAGTCTCCTAAAGAGCCCAAACAGCTACAGAAGCTCTTCGTGGGAGAGCTGAGCTTTGAAACAATCAATGAGGACCTAAGGAGTCATTTTATGGCGAATGCTCATGGTCTGCATGGTAATGGGAAATCCAAACACCAAGTATTTCAGGGGTTTTGGGTTTGTCGTATGCTGCTGTGGAGGAGGTGGGTGTGGCCATGAATGCAATGCCATACAAAGTGAATGGAAGAGCTGCGGAACCAGAGGGCTGTCTCAAGAGAAGATTCTCAAAGACCAGGGTCTCGCTTAACTGTGAAAAAGATTTTTGTTGGTGGCGTTAAAGAAGACACTGAAGAACATCATTAAGAAATTATTTTGGGACCAGCAGTTAGCATAATGGCCATGTTGCTGGACTCCCACGTAGTTGACCGTGGTTTGAGTCCCGGACCTGGTGGCTTAAACTCACGCTGGGTGCGTGTGCATGCGTGCCCAAGATCCCGAGAGGAGAATGGAGGAGAAGGGACTGCGGCGTGGCCATCCCCCCTGGGGGGGTGATTTCTCGCTTTCTATCTCTCTGTCTCTGTCTGTCTGGCGAGTGCACGCGCCCTATAGCAAAAACCTCTCCAAAAAAAAAAAAAAGAGATTATTTTGAACAGTATGAGAAAATTGAAGTGACTAAAATCATGACTGGCCGAAGCAGTGGAAAGAAGAGGGGCTTTGCTTTTGTAACCTTTGAAGATCACGACTCTGTGGTTAAAACATTCATTCAAAAACACCAAGCTATGAATGGCCACAACTGTTGAAACAAGGAAAGCCCTGTCTAAGCAAGAGATGGCCAGTGCTTCCTCCAGCCCAAGAGGTGGTTCTAGAAACTTTGGTGGTAGTTGTGCAAGTGGCTCTAGTGGTAATGACAACTCTGGTTATGGGGGAAGCTTCAGTGGTCATGGTGGCTTTGGTGGCACCTCTGGTGGTGGTGGATACGGTGGAAGTGGGGATGGATCTAACGGCTTTGGTAATGATGGAAGCAATTTTGGAGGTGGTAGAAGCTAAAAGGATCTTGGCAATTACAACAATCAGTCTTTACATTTTGGATCCATGAAGGGAGGAGACTTTGGAGGCATAAGCTCTGGTCCTTATGGCAGTCGAGGCCAATAGTTAGCCAAACCATGAAATCAAGGTGGGTATGATAGTTCCGGCACCAGCGGTAGCTATGGCAGTGGCAGAAGGTTTTAATTAACTGCCAGGAAAGAAAGCTTAACAGGAAAGGAGAGCCAGAGAAGTAAAGGGAAGCTACAGGTCACAACAGATTACTGAACCCCGCCAAGCACAGTGGCAGCAGGGCCTCACTGCTATAAAGACAACGTGTTTTAGACAGTACTAACGTGTATAAGCAAAAAACATGTGGACTATATTTGTGACTAATTGCATAATAGGTTATTTTAGTTTCTGTTCTGTGGAAAGCATAAAGCATTCCAGCAAATGATGTAGACTTTGTTGTTGGTGCATCCATGCTGTTGACTGCTAAATGAAATAGTGTGAGCATGATGCTAAATAAATGTCTCTTTAACAAAAAATAAATAAATAAAAAAAACTGCATTAAGTGTTAGAAAATGCCAAAATTAGACAAAAAAAAAAAAAGACTCCAAATAATTTGCTATACATCGTATTTTAAGTAGACGAGACATAGGTTAAGTCTCAACATATTTTAAGGGCACATAAATAATCTTAGAGATAAAATCTGAGGCACGAAGTCCTAAAAAACAAGAATACCAAATTACAAATATTTAAGGACAACACTTTCAAACAGCAGAAAAGAGAAAAACCATTCATTTGATTATACATAAAAAGCAAGGACAATATTAATATAGTACTCTTACTACAGAACTCAAATATTTTGATTGAACATTAAGAGTAAACGAAGTCATTCAACTTATGTTCCACCTGGAGAGACAATGGCCGAACAGTGGATGAGTAAAAGCTTAGGCATACAAATGTACATTAAGTTCTTTCAAAACTTGGGAGAATGTACAAATTAAGGAATTAATCTGGGACCAGCAGTTGGCATAATGGCTATGTCGTTGGACTCCCATGTAGTCAACTGTGGTTTGAGTCCCAGACCCGGTGGCTTAAACTCATGCCGGGTATGTTTGCATGTGTGCTCAAGATCCCAAGAGGAGAATGGAAGAGAAGGGATTGCGGTGTGACCATCTCCCCCGGAGCGGGGGGGTGATTTCTCGCTTTCCCTCTTTCTGTCTCTCTGGTGAGCACACACACCCTATAGAAAAAAAACCTCTCCAAAAAAATAAATAAATAAAAAGGAATCACTTTAAAAAACTATAGATATATATGAAGTATAAGTTTATACACATGTATTTATTTAAAAAATGAGAATTAAATGAAAGGATAAGATATTCAAACAACGCTAAGATACCAACCTGCTGATTACAAAGAACAAGCGATACCTTACAACGAGTGATGTGATGATCAGCACCTTAACCAAGTGAACATATCACCAAAAGTGTAAAAACCTGTAATTATATGGCTCCTGATATCACATAACAGACAATATCATGTAGCTATGACAATATCACGTCATGGCAATTTCATCTCATTTTTTTCTGACAAAAATACTTAACAAGACTCTAATTATGAGGAACCAATAATCTATAAGATACTTGGCTTAGACACTTCAAAAAATTCAATGTAATAAATTTTAGATTATATACTTTAGCTAAGAAGAACAAAAGATGGAAAGAATGTCCTAGATTCAAAAAGTCAAAACAGGAATAACCAAACATAATCCATGATACTTAATCAGATCCTAAATCCAAAAGAAAGGCTACGAGAGATACCCAAGCACAGACTATACATGGAGCACTACTACCTAATCACTGCTAATGTCATCGAGGTGATGCAGGGGTGTGTGCCTGCTCTCTGGGGAAACAGCTGCAGCATCTAGAGGTGAAGTTCATGGTGACTACAGTTTCAAATGGCTGAGTGAAACCAAGTGCATGGATCAATGTTATGGTGTCAACAACTGGTGAATACAGGTGAGAAATACAGTATTTATGCATTGTACTGGTCTTTCATTTTTCTATGGGTTTGAAAATTATGACATAAAGTTGGGGAAATTATAAATGTTATTTTTTGTTTTCATTCAGGTCCAAAAAGATATGGCATTTTCATCCACTCCAAAGAAAGAGAGGATGTGGAGTAGTGACAAACAAAACAGGAAGAAATTATCTCTTCCAGTGAATTTGTCAACTTTTGGTAAAACTATAGGCTTTCTGAAAATGAGAGCTAAAGGAAAATTCAAGTTTCTGCACAGGGATAAAATATGCAGTACTAAAAAATGTTAATGACAATATCCCTGGTAACAAGAAAACTCACAGCAATATAATATAAAGTTGTCCCTTTGAATCCATGGGGGACTGATTCTAGGACCTACCCAGGCACTAAAATCTGCAAATGGTCAAGTCCATTAAATAAAATGGCTCAGTACTGAGTCATCGGAAAAATCATGACACATTTTTGCACAGAAAAACATAGATGAAGATACATCATGACTCTTCCTAAGATCCAATAATTATAAATAACCTATGCACATCCTCCCATATATTTTAAGTCATCTCTAGACTACTTGTAAATAATCTTAGCATCAGATATAACTGAAAGAAAATTATATAAACTTTAGTGCTTTTCTTTTTCTTTTCTTTTTTTTTTTTTTTTTTTGAGAGAGCTTTGCTGTAGGGTACTTGCACTCACCAGAGAGAGAGATATAGAAAACAAGAAATCATCCCCTACAGGGGATGGCCATGCTGCAATCCCTTCTCCTCTTGGGATTTTGGATACAAATGCACACGTGTCTGGTGTGAGTTTTAAGCCACTGGGTCTGAGACTTGAACCGTGGTCAACTATGTGGGAGTCCATCAGTGTAACCATTACGCCACCCTGTAGTCCCTTCGTGCCTGTTTTTAGAAAACAACCTCTTCTCCCATGTGCCTGTTTTTAGAAAACAACCTCTTCTCCCATATGATACCAGGCATGGCCTGGCTCTACCTGCATTTGGTCGAATTTGTGGATATGGAACCTATATAAACAGAGATCCAACTCGCACGCCTGGTTCTCATTTCTTAAATCGTTGTGGTTGGTTCTTTTTATAGTCCACAGATTTTTAACATCAGCAAATACTATATAGAAGGTCACTCATTAGACAAATTATAATCTAATGGAATGACAGCAGTAAGTTATAGATTCTTAAATAGAGTTCAAAAGACTCAGAAGGGCTCTATGGGTGGGTCTTAAGAAACACATAGACAATTGACAAGATTATGTAAGAATATTGTTTTGAGAGGAGAGGGTCTGTGGCTTTCACCAGACCCTTAATGAGTCCTAAGACTAAAAACATATCGGAGAATCACTGCACCCAGAAAAGATGGTTCTCAGGTCATCCTTTCATATGACTCCACCAAAACATTAGGCATTAAAATCTTTTTTTAAATTATCATTTCTCTTAAGTTTGCTATAGAGCATGTATGCTCACCAGAGACAGAAAGAGAGAGAGAGAGAGAGAGAGAGAGAGAGAGAGAGAAAACAAACCGCCAGGTTAAGGACTCAAACCATGGCTGGTCATGTGGCAGTCCAGCGTCTTAACCACCATGCCACCTGCTGGCCCCAATATTAGAAATTTAAAGGTAATTTTGTTTCTTTCATCTTCAGAAAGACTATAAAACTTCCAGGAATAATATACAAGTGGTACTTAAGAAATTATAATAAAAAAATCCTCAGGGCCACTTCAAATAATTTGAGACTAATGAACTTAAAAGGGTTTTCATTTTTTAAAGAAAAAAGAAAACTTACCGTTGAGGTGGTGTGCGTGGGCTCTTAAAGGCCGCGGCTTTAGGTCTATCAGCCTTGGAGCATTTGCCCTTCACTTCGTCTTCATATAATTCTGCCAAGGCCAGCTACACAGTAATGGGCTTGTTAGAAAGTGTAACACTAGAAATAAACTCGTTTGCACAACTCGAAGTTATGAATAGGGCATTAACTTGAAATTCAGTGCTAAAGACTTCTCATAAAAAAGTGATGGTTGCTGCTGAAAATGACTCCTCTCCAAATAAACTAGTTGTAACTTTCACTTTACTGGATCAACTGAAACGTCACACATATTAGAACAAATTTAAGCTATACTAATGGTTTAAATTATTTTCAATGCACTATTTCATAGTTTCAAAAACTGCATTATGAAACAAACTATGTTCAAATTTAGACCTACATAACTTTTCTACAAGTTTAAGAATTCTTAAAGATGTTTCATTTTGGGGGACCAGCAGTTAGCATAATGGCTATGTCGCTGAACTCCCATGTAGCCAACAGCAGTTTGAGTCCTGGACCCGGTGGCTTAAACTCACGCCAGGCGCATGTGCGTGTGTGCCCAAGATCCTGAGAGGAGAATGGAGGAGAAGGGATGATGGCATGGCCATACCCCCTGGGGAGTGATTTATCGCTTTCTGTCTCTCTGTCTCTCTTTCTTTCTGATGAGCACACATGCCCTATAGCAAAACCCTCTCCAAAAAAAAAAAAGGAAAAGAAAAAAAAAAAAGAGGTTTATCTTAATGTCAGTTTCTTTTATCAAATCTCACAAAATAATTTCACTCAGCTGTTCGAGTTTTCAAAAGCCAAACGCATAAAACATTTAGTGACTTAATCATGCATATTATCAAAAATTTTCCATTTCTAGTTCCTAGAATTTTTTTTAACCCCTCTTTATGACCCTCTGTCCTTTCCCACCCTCTTCTCACACTATCTCTGGTGTCTACAATTGTCTTCCATTCCTTTCCCACCCACATTGTATTGATCACACAATTTCTTACATAATCTAACTACTTTCAATAGTAAGTTCACTCAGTACTATTAAGAAAACCAGTTTTAACTTAAATCAAAGAAATGCCAAGGAACTTTGCTTAAAGCCAGGAAACAGTTTAGGATTCTGTCCAAATGGTAGGTGCATGAACCTATCAGTCTCATGTACTTTATTACCTGTTCTGGTTCAATTTTCCCGATTAAATTCTGGGATATAATATTCAACTCCAGACTTGTCCCTACGATTAAGTTGGCCACTTTCTTAGTTTTTGAACTCTTATTTCCATGTGTCTGTATTTGATTTTCCAGATATAGCACACCCTTGAGAACTTTTTGGAGATCTGGTCTGGTCCTAGTAAATTCTTTCAGGTTTTATCTGAGAATGTGCTTGTCTTTTCTTCCCACATGAAAGATAATCTTGCCGGGTACAGTATTCTTGGCTGAAATTGCTTTTCTCTTAACACTTTGAATATATTTTCCCATTCTCTCCTCGCCCGCATTGTTTCCGATGAGAGATCTGCTGTTAGCCTGATGGGATGTCCTTTGCAGGTAACTTGATGCTTTTCTCTTGCCAATCTTAGTATCTTGTCTTTGTCTGTGGTTTTGGTCAACCTGGCTATAATGTGTCCTTTTCTAATTTTCTTAATAGATGTCTTTTCTAAACACTCACAGCACCTATCTCCCTAACGACATTTATATAATTAAGCAATGATATTGTCATTACTTGTGTACTTTTGCTATTTTATCCTTCCTACAAGTTTCTCAAATTGTTGCTAATAAAGTATTTAACAGATACTCAACAAATCCCTATTAAATTAGACTGTAATACAGTATGAGTCATAACAGATATAGATTGATGTCTTAGGGATTTTAAAATTCAGGTAATATTTATTATACAGTTTTATATTGTTTGTTTTTTGCTTTAGGATTTGAACGAATGCTGCCAATCAAATAATCTTCTTCTGTGAAATAAAGCAAGTAAAATAATGCCTTTTGACTGTGGAATGTGGAACATATGAGAATATGAATAAAATGATTACTAGAGTAAGGAGTCTATGTGGCTAAAAGATCTTAGTTATTAATGGCACATCAATAACTATTAAAATGACTGACAAAGGGTTGAAGTATGTGGTGTTATCTAGCATAAGTTCACTAGTATTACTAAAAAACTTAATGTCTACCAGTTGACATAACAGATGATGCCACACTCAAAGAGGAAACCATCCAAACTGATCAAAATTAATGGAAGAACTGGTCAAAACCAATACAATAACAAAAAACTCTCAAAATTTAATGATTCAATAACACAGAGAGAATAAACTATGTAAGCGCTGATAATCTTTTCTCTAGAATTAGAAATGTGGAAAATTTGAAAACAAAACTGAAAGCAAAGTAACTGAATGAGAAAAATTATAAGATTAAAAGCTGAATTCTCAAAGTCAGAGTAGTAAGTTCTAGAAATTACAATAAGGTGTTATTAATCAAAATATCAACCTCAGCATCACCTAGATGTGCATGTTCATGCCAGGAAGATATGATGAATTAGACTCTGGAAGGGACCCAGCAATCTGCTCTAACAAGTCTCCCAGGTGATTCTGATGCACACTCAACGATTGTGAATAATTATATCCAACAGGTAGGATACTTGTGGTATTTATAATGCAGGATTAGACATTTATACTCTTAGCATACCAACTATCAAGCCCAATGGTATAACCCATAAGTACTGAAGTTATTGCTAACCCTCTCGCTTTCTTCTCCCCCTCCCCCATTCTGACCTATACGGAAGCACAGAAATAGTAATAAAAATCTTCTCCTTTTGACATTTTCTGAAAGAACACTGGGATAAAAGAGTTAAATAGCTTATTCATCTGTTTATGCCATGTGTGAAGATGGACTGAGAGACACTCAAAGAGACAAGGGTCTCTAAAAACATTCAGAAATGCTAATGAGCACTTAAGATGTTTTTAGGCTTGTCAGTAATAATCCCACTCCAAACTTTACTACTCTTAGCTCAATATCCAAATGAGATATCCATGTCCACACTTTGTAACTCAGAGGCTCTTGGTGCAGGTGCAGGGAGGCTGTCCTCCTCTCGGCACCTGAAACACTCCCTCCTCCCTTCCACATCTACCCTACACTGCATGGCACGTAAGATTTACTTACTAAGGAATAGCTTTGCTTGTTCCATTTAGTAACATGTCGCCCTTTCCTCACCATGAAAAACTCTTAGAGCAAGGTGTTAGCAAAATAAGAAGTATCCACTGAAAACTCCAAAATTAGCTAACTATTAATGGTAAACTCAAAATATGGCTACACTTTTATGAACCAAAGGATTTATTTGGGAATAGAGGAAAATAAGACTGCAATCTGGAGCATACACACAGGTCAGGGTGGCCTCCAGTATGTTCAAAGAACAAGGAAAAGGAGTGAGGTCTTATTGGGAAAGGAGAAGAAGTTACACAAGTTGTCTGAAAGAATGTTGACTGGCACTAGTGGCTTCATTGAGGAGCTGGCAAGCTTCTTGGTGAATGCCAGTGGTGTTTCTACATGAAGCTTGTACTAAAACCAGAGAAGCTGCTGGGCAGCTACCAGACAAAATTAGTCTGATGGTTTTAATAGGTAATTTTGATAGCTGGGCTTGACAGAGTTTCTGGAGCGGGGGTTTGTGACCTGAGAGCTTTATCCCAACGGCCTTTAGACTCTACGTGAGCTGGGCATGACAGAAATGACTCCCTCTGCATAATCACTTCTCACAATAAGCATTTCTAGCTTAAACAATAACAAGATAACCCATAATCAATATCCAAGAAAACAGATGGGCGAATATTATCAATACTTTCAAACCTTTGATGCTTTCTCAATACATCATCACTTAGTTTGTTTTTAAAGTTTCTTTGCAGGTTCTTTACGCTCTTACTAAATTCTAAATGAGAGATTATGAATGCTTACATGCTGTATTTGATCTACGAAATCACATTCATGAAGAAATCAGTTATCTTCCCAGTGACCTACCTACCAGAAAGCACACGGATGAAAAAAATAAACCCCTATCTTCTAATTTCTGGTGGAAATAAAGGTATCTTCACAATTAATGACATCTATCCAAACATCTCCAACAATTACTCCTACACTGAGTCAAAGGATTAAGTCTATAAACATTGTGTCAAGGACCAGGTGGTTATTAACCAAGTTGTTCTCACCTTTTTTCTTTTTAATTTGCTAGAGGGCTCATGAAGGAATAAAGGGGGAGAAAGAGAGAGAGAAGTGAGAAAACATCCCCCCTGAAGGATGGTGACACAGCAATCCCTTCTCCTCGGTTTCTCTTTTTGAGATTTTGGGCACCCTAACACATGCCCCTGGCATGTTTCTCAAGCCACTAAGTCGGAGACTCAAACAGTGCAGCTGGCCGTATGGGATCCAGTCGCCTTAACCACCACATCACTGGCTGGTCCTGTTTTCACTTTTCATATAAAAGGGGATTTAATTTAGAGATATAAAGAATTAACTTTAATGGTACTAGAACAGATTAACCAATTAAAGTTACAGCATCTTTTCCTTATTTCGTAAAGGAATCAAATGTTTGCCATGCAAGTACTGAGCAAAGATAGTATGGGAACTGTGCCGAGAACCATTACAGACATTATTTAATCCTTACACCACCACCGTCACCTTCAGTTTACAAATGAAGATACTAAGGATGAGAGAAGTTGAGGCACTTCTCCGAAATTTACACAATTAAGGGGCAGGACAGCACATGGTTGGTCTGATCACTGTTTTATTCCACAGGCCACGTTACCTCTTAGTGATGTTGGTCTATATAAGAAAAGATAAAGTGGATGACAGTTCCCATTCCTTGATTATTTACCACCATTATGGACTCAATTTTGGGCACTGAACTATTCTCCAATGAGTTCACATTTTAATCTTACATTGTTCTCTCCATTTTATTATTTTTTTTTGGAGAGGTTTTTGCTATGGGGTATGTGCACTCGCCAGAAAGAGACAGAGAGCTAGAAAGTGAGAAATCACTCCCCGGGGGGATGGCCACATTGCAATCCCATCTCCTCTATACTCCTCTCAGAATCTTGGGCACGCACGCACATGCGACCAGTGTGAGTTTTTTCCTTTGATTCTCTTTGATTCTTTTTTTTGGGGGGGCGGGGGGAGGTTTTTTGCTATAGGGCTCATGCACTCACCAGAAAGAGACAGAGAGACAGAAAGCGAGAAATCACCCCCAGGGGGGATGGCCAGACCACAATCCCTTCCCTATTCTCCTCTCGGGATCTTGGGCACGCACGCATATGCGCCCAGAGTGAGTTTAAGCCACCAGGTCCAGGACTTGAACTGCGGTGGGCTTCATTGGAGTTTAGTGACATAGCCATTACGCTAACTGCTGGTCTCAAGTTTAAGCCGCCAGTCCAGGACTCAAACTGCAGTTGACTACATGGGAGTCCAGTGACGTAGCCACTACACCATCTGCTGGTCCCAGCTCTCTCCATTTTTTTTGTTTTTTAAAGTTTGTTTTGTTACAGAGCAAGCATGAGAGAGAGAGAGAGAGAAAGCAAGAACTCAACCCGCAGCCGGGATAGCCACACAACAAACCCTTCTAGTCTCCTCTAGGGATCTCCAGCACCCACACATTCAAGTCCTGTTTTTCTGTCCCCCAGGTCAGGAACTCCAATCCAGCCATCCACCATGTGGGATCCAGCCACCTTAACCACCGCACCACCCGCTGGACCCAAAACACCTATCTTAAAACATTATGTTAAATGTAATCATATGGAAAAAGCCCTGTAGGCTTCCAAAAGGTAGAAATAAGTCTTTTACACTTAGGTATCCTCTGAAGGTGTCCAGCACCAACTGTGGATATGACGCCCTGTTTATTTTCACATTACCAAGTTCAGCATCGTGTTACCTGGCAGGTGGTCAATATATGTTTGCTCAAAGAGCTGGAGTGACATGTGGCTACAAAGTAACAGAACTGCTACACCAAGATTTGTGGGTTCAGTCTCATTTTTAAAAAAGAATTATTTTATTTAACCTTATTTATTTAAATTTGATCAGAGAGGGAGAGTGAGGGGGCAGAGAGAGGGGTGAGAAAGCAAGCTGGTCTGCGGTGGGCCATGTGGGAGTCCAGCACCCTTAACCACCGCGCCACCTGCCCAACCCAAGTCTCATTAATTTTTATCACAGCTCCTTACAGATGTTTACCTGTTCAATTTTATCAATAATCTTATAAGGAGACAGAAAAACGGCCTGTAACGGGCAAAGTGGTGCTAGCATCTTTTTAAACAGGACTTGGTGCACTGGTACTTAGCTAACTCGTACTAAGGTCGTGCCCTGTAACATCGCAAGTTTTATTTCTCCATTCCTTATGTGCGAGGTTTTATAGGCTAATGTTTAAAACTAGGCTGTACGGCCGTATTAAAAGAAAAAAAGCTGTATGATAATAAAGAGCCATTTAAAATATTTAAGTAAGCAAGTCAGAAACAGCATCCAAGACCAGAAAGAACAAATGACTGCTCGTTCCCTATGGCCACAGTATAAGTCCCACGACGGAAGCAGCAGCCGGGAAGCACCCGCCGACCCCACTAAACGCCATTCTAAATGCACGGCACACGGGGTGGGCAGGAGACTCAGGGTCGAGCACTTTTTCCCACGACCACCACCGAGTCCCAGTGCTGTCCCCGAATTAGGTCTGGCAAAGGCAGCCGAAGTCAGAGGCGGCTTCCGCCCTGCGCGCGCCCATGCCGTCCCCCGCCCGCGCCTCCTGCCTCGCTCTCGGCCTCCGCCTCTCGCTGCACCCGCAAATCCCGCGCGCTCGGGGGCCGCGGCCCGGAAGACCTCCTCTCCCGCTCGCCGGGCTCAGCACCGCCTTCCGCCATCTTCCGCCGCGCCGCGGACCCGCCTCCGGCGACTTCCGGGGCGGTTGCCAGGCAACCCCGGGAGGAGGCGGAGCCGCGCGGGGATGCGTACGCAGCCGCGCTCCCCACGCCAGCGCGCGCCCCCTATGCTCCGGCGCCTGCCGGTGCGGTTCCCTTGTACGATGCTCTTGTTTTCCTTACGGGCATTTGGTCCAGGGAATTTCCCGGCCAAGGCTCTGTGTAAGCCTCGTGTTCTCTCTGCCGCCCGGGCGGGGGCGCTCTAGGCCGCCCTGGAGGGCCGTGCAGACTGGCAGGACCACTGAACTGAAAACCTCCTCGGGAGGTTGTAGCTGATGAAAATTGCAACCTCCTTTTCTCGTCTTGGTCATATTCGTTCATCTTCTACAGGAATAACCGAGTCCCGAAGAAGAACCGAGGCGAGATGCTGTGAGAGCGTGAACACCGAAACTGCTCCTTGCAATCAGAACTGGGGAATCTTAAGCACTTTTCATTGAACAGAGATTGATTTAAATTCCCGACTTATCCAAAGACGTTTCTATGCCCCAGGGATGCAAAAGTGGAAAGAAAGAGAAACTGTGAGCAGACAATAAAATGCACTTTGGGCAGAGCTTGCCAGGAAGTGGGGTGGGATGTGAGGGAAAACACCCTGTTGGTGTCTCCTGTCCGCGCTGTGCTGGGTGCTGGCGTTCAGCGCAGGCCACTCTCCAATAGCTGTTTTGGCATATTGACAATTTTAAACTAAAGGTTCAACAGCAGGTTCAAGAAAGGCATTCTAACCCTCTTTTGTTTCCTGAAGGCAGGAAACAAAATTACGTGAAAGATGTCTTCCTGATGCCTGGAGGAAAGAAATCCTTATCATCAGAGATGCGAGCGTGAGGAACGCCTGTCTTCCCTACTCGTTGTTCAGTCTCATAAATAAGCGCTTCTTTCGGTCTCCGCTTTCCTGTGAGGCTGGCCATGTGCATGTAAAATGATTTTAAACATTTAGGCTTTTCTCCTATTGAGTTTAATTCTAAGTTTAATAGTTAGGCCTAGCTGGAGACCCCAAGAGTAGAGAAGGTTTTCTTTTTTCTACAGTGCATGTGTAATCTCATATGAGGAAACGATATGATAAACACCAAATTCACCGTGTAGTAAACAGCAGTACCAGATGCTAAAGCTTGCATTTGTTGTGTCAATACTGTTTTTGAAAATATTTATTTACTTATTACTATTTTAGAATTTGCTATAGTCAGAGAGATAGAGAGGGAACGTGACAAAGCAAGCCACCAGGTCTGGGACTTGAATTGCATCACTCATGTAGGAGTCCCACCACACCACCTGCTGCACCCCCATACTCTTTTTTTTTTAAATTTTATTTCATTTATTCACATCATTACTATTTGTTTTTAATTTGACCAGAGAGAGACACAGAGAGAGGGAGGATGAGAAAGAGCGAGAAAACAAGCCACCAGGGCTGGGACTCAAACTATAGTCAGCCACATGGGAGTCCCCCATACTCTTTTTAAGGCAACATTCTGTTCTAAAAAAAATCTCTGACTCTTCTTTTACCAAAAGTGCCCCAAAGAGCCAGTGACACTTTAATTATGTTGAGCAGTAGACGCTGTAGTAGAAAGGACTCTGGGTAAAGGCAAGGCTATGACAAAGGCACAGATTTCAAAGATCATGTTCATGTCAGCAAAGGAGGAGAATGGGCAAAAGATGGTTGTGTGTGTGTGTGTGTGTGTGTGTGTGTGTGTGTTTGTGTGTGGGGCCAGAGCTAGACTAGCTGAAGGGCCAGAGTGACTCCATTTCTTTTGGGGCAACTCCATTTTGTTAAACCCACCTTGCTGAGAATGGTGCCATTTTAAGGAGGGGAGCTGGTCACGTAGGAAAAATCATGAGAACATCACCCCACCAGGACTGACCAATGAGAGATACAAAGGAGATACCAGAAACCTGAAGTAACTTTTTTTGCTTAGAGAAACAAAGGAGATACCAGAGACAGCTACACTCTGTGAGACAACTACACTCCCTGTAATCTACAGCCAATGTGTAAACACCTGAGTGCATTCCTCAGCACCCCTCCACCTCTCCCCACCCCAACAGCCAAATAAAAACCCAGCCCAACCAACATGCAGGGCTCTCAACTCTGACCTGCTGTGTAGGTGAGGTTGGGAGTCCTGGCTTGAGCCTGCATAAAAGCGACCCTCATGTGCTTACATTGGAACGGCTCCCTGGTGGTCTTTTGGGAAGTTCGTGACTGGGGCACAACATAGCGACATAGTTTTTGGACGATTCTGAAGGATCTTGCCATAGAAAAGAGATTGAATTTACCTTCTAGGCGAGTTGATCTCAAACATTCCTGCACATCAGAATCACCTCCCTTTTCCTTTCCACTTCGGGAGCTGGTGTGCGGTGGGACTTGGGCCTCGTATTTTTTCAGAGGCTCCACTAGTGCAGTTTTCTATCAGCCATGACAGCATACCTAGTACTGGACTTGTCCTCCCAATTTGAACAACTCAAAACCTTGACAAAATATGTGAAATAACTGTTTCCAGACACTGAACAGTAGGCTGTACTGGTCTGAGATATCTGAGAGAGGGAAGCTGAGCGAGATGGGCTTTCTCCGCCCTGGAACCCTCATACAGTGCTGTGGGGATGTAGAATAGTTCATCCATTTTGGAAAATAGTTGGACTATTTCTTCTGCAGTTAAATGTTCTATGATCTCTAGACCCAGCAATTCTACTCCCAAGTATTGAACCAAGAAGAATGGAAGCATATGTTTACAAAAATATTTGTCCCCAGATGTCCACAGAAGCTTTATTTGTAATAGCTCCCAAACCAAAAGCAATCTGGGTGGTCATCAATAAATGATGAGTAAAATTTTGACAGGTTCTTACAGCGTTCTACCTCTGTGTTTAGCAATAGTGTTTAGGATGTTAGACGGTTGGGAAAGTAGGAGATTGAGAAACACTTTGGACCAAGAGTATGAGGCTGTGATAAGATCAGTGACAGGGAGGATGGAGGGCTTCAGTTGATTGGGGATAGCTTATCCCTGAGTTATTGTGCATGGAAATTGTTTTCTGTTATTGGCCATGGAAATATTCTCTTTAAATCTTGGGTCTTTTTGTTGTTTATTTCTTCCATGAGAGAGAAAGACAGACAAGCACTTCCAACTTCTTCACACCACAATCCGCTCCAGTCCTAGCCGGCCTGGATCATGGGCGTGCACATGAAGGCCCAGCATGTATAGCGAGGTCCTAGGTCATATCAACCCAGGGCCTTTCCCAGGCAGGCCCAGTTGTGTTACCATGTGCCACTCCTGGCCACTAAACCATGAGTCTTGATATTATTTTTTACGATTAAGGCTGTCTGCATTCTTATCTATCCTTGACTCAGACAGTTTTAGTTGATTAATAATGATGTCTTGGGACCAGCAGATCTCGTAATGGCTATGTTGCTGGATTCCCATGTAGCTGACCATAGTTCGAGTCCTGGACCTCGTGTCTTAAACTCACACTGGGTGAGTGTGTGTGCTTGTCCAAGATCCTGAGAGGAGAATGGAGGAGAAGGGATTGGAACATGTCCATTGCAATTGTGATGATTTCTCGCTTTCTGTCTCTCTGTCTCTCTGTCTCTCTCTGTCTTTCTGGTGAGTGCACATGCCCTATAGCAAAAACCTCTCCAAAAAAAATGATGTCTCTACATTCCTGCATAATTGATTTCCTTATATCATAATTCATCAATTAGGATATCTTTATCCCCATAAATTACCTAATAATCATCTTTTTTTTTTTCTGTTTATAATCAAAACTTTATTATTAAGCCTTTCCTGGCCTGGGAGCAGCAGTATTGGGACAGCACACTGGCCAGTTTCCTTTCTGGAGACACCAGAGAGACTGAGATGGCCTTCATGATTATGAGTCAATGAGTAACTTTTGTAAACACATTCTCCAACCAATGGTTCCTAAAGAACTTTTTTATTGCTTATGTTCATATGAACAAAAAAAATATTTGTGGTTTTATGGTAGATGCTTTTTAAGTCATCCAAATTTACTGAAACGCATTTCTTCTATGTTACTTTTTTTTTTGAAGATGTATTAGTATATGGAAACTCTTAACATTACTAGAGTAGAGAGAGGTCACTTCTGCAACAGTACTGGATTGAACATCCAGATATCAGGAAGCATTATCTTCATTTAAGAGATTTCAGTAAAGTCCTGAGATAGTCTAAATGTGTTAAAGTAGTTATTTCATATTTGAAGTCTAATGGTTTGTGAGCTACCAGAAAATAGCATGCCAGATCTATTTTACAGGGCTTCTACCTGATGCAGGTGATGGCTTCCAAAGACTCTTTACATGCCCGGGGACGGTGATCAGATTATATGGGAACCTCTGGGACTACAGACATTGCAACATTGCTAACATCACCAACTGTAACTGCGACATGGATTACTTTTAGAAACGTGGACTAATAGTGATCTGCACCGTGTGTTGCATAATACTGTAAGTAGTTATAAAATTACATATTTTTTATTCTTTACAGTCGGTGAGAAAGGAAAGTGCTTTACCTTTTCATCCCAGAAGTAATTTCTTTTCCAGTTCTTCACAGCAGCCTTAATCCCCTAGCTCTGAGGCTCAGTTCTGCTCTAGTTCCTGGGCAAATATCGAATCAGGCAGGTGGGCTTAGTTCCAGTTTCAGTCCCAGCACTACCTAGAAGTGGGTTCCTGTAAAGAGTCCCAGGATCTTCACTCCTTCAGGATGTATCCCCGGGCCTGGCGTGGCCTCTGTACTGGTGAAGGATGCCACGCTGACTCAGACGCTTTTGCTGGACATTGTTTGTCTTTGCAGTGCTTCTTTGTAAATCCTTAGAAGCCTGGGATTCTTTCTCAAACCCCATTTAGAGCTTGTTGCTACTAGGCTAGTGCCTGCCCATTTCAGGAAAGGCTGAATTCTGTTTCTCTAATAGAACCGGTGGTGGTCTGGAGGATGCAGTGTCTCATCTAACATCAGTACTTACCCCTTGGGATTA